AAAGCCAGCATGGGCAAGGCCAGCCCAGCTCTGAGGGCTTGGCCCTGGGAAGTCGGCGGCACCCGCAGCCCTTTGGGTCCTGTTACTGTCCCCTGGCGGGAAGGCTCACGCCTGTGGACAGCCACGGAATGTGTCTGACCTCCATCCTATGTCGGGTGCTTCTGGGAGAGCTTCGTGACTCAGTTGAAAACATTTTGACTCTCTTCAAGTTTGCAGTTTCATCTGTGGTTCTTGGAAGCTGTCCTAGTGAGTCAGCATTGGGTTAAGCCTGAGGAGACCAAGCTCCAACACCTTTGTGCACTCATGTATATGAATTCTTGCTTGCAGTGAATGAGCCCTGAACAACCCTAGTGTGTGTCATGTCCTGCGTGTGGCCCAGACGTGTTTTCCTGTAGATTCACATGAGAAAACTTCACCTATCCATGTGCTCTAAGAGGTGGACTGAGGTCTAATCCCTCTCTGGCGAGGTAAATCGCCAGATTTTCTGTGGGTTGGTCTTAACACCTAGGAGATGAATAGAACGTGGAGACACCTGACCAATTTAGTGATTCTGCAAGGCAGTGATGATTTAAGGGTTCCCATTGTCTCATCTGTGTTCAAAACAAAGCAATCATGAAGTCTTTGTGCCACTGCCTGACTGTCATCTTCTCCAGATCTTGTTTACAGAGAAATAATGACGTTAAACAGGTATCAGAAAGGGGAAAAAAGTTTCTAGGCCAAGAGCTACTGGTGGATTCTCTTGAGCAGAATAACAAGTTGCTTCCTGCTCCAGGGACTGCCATTAGCTTGTGAGGTCTCCAGGTGCCTTGTTAGTTCCCAGTGAAGTTGCAGAATCCAGGGTTTTTTCAGGTTTGTCTTATTTTATCAGCACCCATGTCCAGGCCCAACAGCTTGGTAGGCTGGTGAGGTCCACACACAGTCAGGTCTGGGAGATGAGGGAGGAAGCGGTGGCCTGGAACACCCCGCCTGTCTTCCATCAGCACTAGACAGCTCAGGCTATCTTGGAAACGTGTACTTGGTTAACTGCCTTCCTGTCCTCTTGTCTTTGAAAGCTGTCTCATGTTCCACAGTCAGCCTGAGGGCAAGAGTGGGATGCTGGGGACAGGTCTTCCCCGTGCTATGGGTGAGCTCCTGGCATCTGGCTCAGGAACATGTGGGTCCAGCAGGTGACTCTGAAGCTGGCTTGGCTGCCATCTCAGACAGGACGCAGGCCTGACACCCTCAGCTTTCAGCTTTGTAAACTTCCCTGGCGCTTTATAGAATCTTGTGTTTCTTCTCTTCTCAGCAGATGTCATTCAAATCACAAGAACTGTCTGGTCGAGAAAGTAATTTAAAATATTTGACCTTTTATGTTTCTTTTATTTAGAAACTGTGAGAGAAAATACCTTCAATATCTATTACGTCTAGAAGAATGTTCTTCTGAAAGTGAATGTTCTGTTTAATTCTTCTTCATGTGAGTGAGTAGCATTTGTACACTCTTCAGCTTGAAGCGGAATAGGTCCTGTTATATTCTCTTCTTTTGTCTGGGATATATTCTTTTTCCATTTGAATACAGTTTTTCAACCTTTGGGATTTTTTTTTTTCCTTTCTAGTTTTTCCTATTCACAAACATAACAGTAAGGGAAAAAATCACCCACAAGCCCGCTGAGTTTGAATCACTGGCAGCTTGCCTAGAAAAGTTTAGATGATGGGTCCTTGAATGGTGTATCTATTTCATAGGGTAAGTTTGTTGTCTATGTTTTTTTATGCTGAGGCTGTAATTCAGGTGACTGCTATCTAGACACCTGGGGTGGCGTGTTTTCTTTGGGATGCATAATACAGAAAGGCCAGGGAGCCTTTGGCTTGGACCCCAGGGAGCTATCGAAACTTTTGAAGTTTAAGTTTAGGAGTAAGAACATATCTCAGACCACCTTAGTCAGCTTTGCTAATGGGATTTAGGGCCAGGCCAGAGTTTCTTTTCCTAACTGTTCCTGAAAAGAGAGATGGTGTGAAACAAGATTCTGATAATGGTTTGTGTGAGATTTGATCATAGTCTAAAACTATCATGTCTTGAGTTGCCATAGGATGACAGTGCAGACACCCAGTAGGAAGTACCCCATTTTTATCAGGAAAGTCAGTCACGCAAAGGGATGGTGAGGAGACGAGGGGCGAGGAGGGAGACTTGGTGCCCTTGCACCAGGGTGAGGCCTGACTCACGCTGCTTCCCCCCACAGGCCCTGCTTTGCTTGCCTGCTTTTTCCAGAGTCGATTTTGCAAGTTTCAAGACTCTGTTCCCCTCTTTGCAGAAGTGAGGAAGGCAAATACTCAGGGTTTGAAGAGAGACCTGGCTGGCTCGAGGGCTGGCAGATGCGAGGGCAGGACACCTGGGATGGACTAGTAGGCTGGCCCAGGCCCAAAGGGGGCTGCCTGCTCCCAACTCTTTCACTCTGTAACCCATTTTAAAATGAGTTTTTGAATCTTGCCTCAAATTGACCTACTTGGATAAAATCAGTGCTTTTCCTAACTTGATTTTGTTTGACATGGTTCCCTCTAAGAGAATGCTAGGAATTGAAACTATTTGTATATGTTGAAATTTGTAGGGGTTCAGGAACCCATGGCAGAAACATATTTATTTACAAGTATGACTATTTTTTTTTCAAAGTAGGCAATTCTGTCTTTGTATATTTTAAGGCAAATAATCACTTCACCTCTGGTGCCTTCCATGCGTCGCATAAGCACTCTTGTCAATCATGGAATTGGAAAAAAAGATGTACATTTAGTTAAGCCAGATAACACTATTTTTGTAGCATGATTTTAGATTGTGTCCTTTTAATATTGTTTTCAACAATGGTAGTTTTGAGGTTTTGGCCATTTTCTCTTTACACTTCGTATGTATTTTAAAGAAGAAAAAAACAACAAAAAAATTCCCTGGCTATTCCTCTTTCCTGTCTGCTGCTGCTTCTCCCACATCTTGTTCCTGCTTATTTAAATAGTCTGAGAGTAAGAGTATATTTCTGTGAAATAATTATAAGTCAGTATAATTGCATTGGCATTTTTTAACCACTTGCTCAGTTTGGAGCCACTGCTCACCTCAAACAGTACAAAGAAAGTGGTTCCATATTTTATAAACAAAAGAGTAGCATCAGAGCCCTGACCTGTCTTTGGGTGTAAAATGGTGAAAGGCCGGCGTCTGGCTCCTTCCCCTGTGGTTTGGGCTGGGGAACTGAGCCCAGGTGTATTCTCTGGCCCGGGCCCCTTCCAGGATCAGTGCAGGCGTCCTGCAGAGGCGCGGCCTTCCTGCCACTACAGAGTGGGAAGCTTCCCGGGGGACCTCAGCCGGCTCCGGAGCTCTCACCTTCCACTCGGATCTCGTATTGGTTCGTTGTGGATGCTCTGGCTAGGCTTGGTGGCATATTCCAGGCTTCAGGCCTTCAGGCTGCTTGCTGTGAGGAGCTAGACGACACCAAGACACAGACATATACTCTTTAGCAGCTCCTTTCGCCTCTCCTTCCTGCAGGGCGTGAGTTATGGCTGGTCCCAAAACCCTTGAATAAACTAGCTGAGCCATTGCAAATGAAGGTACAGATGGATTGAAACATAAAATCGTAGCTTTTGATGTCCTTCTGAAGGGTCAGAATATGTAATTATTTGATAACCAAGGAAGTCAAGCCAGATGGCTAAGTAGTAACTTTCCAATATGATTTATCCGTGGTACTTCACCTGGTGGCACTTTTGGGGGGCAATATTAACAACTATCACATTTTACTTGTTAAGTCTCTTTCATTCTGGCAGTTTAAAGACACAACTGTGGGCTTTCTGAGGCAATGCCCATTGGGCAAACTTAGGTTTATGTGTTTGGTTTTTCAGCTACAGAAGCCCTGGGTGGGTGCCCCCTGGCTGGCCTGGCTCTCGGGTTCAAGTCTGTATGTCTGGAGTGGGTTGGGGCCCCAAAGCTTTGCTGCTATTGATTTGTCCCCGACAGCAGGCAAAGCCTCACATTGCCCTCGATTTTCCCCCTTTCATTTGAAGGACCAATTTTTCACGGTACTTGTCTTGATCTTTTTCATAGTGTTCAAATCTGTATTTTTGTATGTAGAGGAAAATAATTTTCTCAACACTAATCGTTAATAACTATTGTATTAAATTGTCATGAAGGAACTCTTGTTTAATAAATGGACGTGTAAGGATGTCGTTGTCTCTCCTCACTCTGGCTGGCCTCCTCTGCCCCTTAAAGGTTATGGATCCAGTTCCTGAAACAGGGCTGCTGTGTGGAGGTTGAACAGAGCCATGATCCTCGGTGGAACAAGGCCTCTGTGACACCAGCTTTGCCGCTTTGCCAGGGCTGACAAGGTGGAACGTAAATTCCACCAGGGGCCTCTCCGCTCCTGCACACCCAGCTTTCATATGCATTTTCAGCACATGTGGTGTGTGACAGTTTGGGTGGAATGTCTTGTCTTTTCCCATCAGCCTGGACAAGAACGCTGACCTGGGTCCTCCAGGGCTGCAGTTCTCTGGGCTGTTAGAGAGCCCCAGGGTTCCCGCTGCCTGAGGCTGCTGTGAGACACTATCCTGATGTGTAAGTGAGAGGGCCCTGGGCCAGTTACCCGACCTTTGTCTCAGTTTCTTTGTTTGTAAAACAGGATAGTGTGAGAACTAGAGCCAGGGTCCCCAACCCCTGGGCAGTGGACTGATACCATGGGGCCTGTTAGGAGCCAGGCTGCACAGCAGGAGGTGAGTAGCAAGCAACTGAGCTCCACCTCCTGTCAGCCCGGCAGTGGGATTAGGTTCTCATAGGAACACGAATCCTGTTGTAAACTGTGCATGCTGTGGATCTAGGTTGTGTGCTCCTTATGAACATCTAATGCTTGATGATGTGAGATGGAACAGTTTCATCCTGAAACCATCCCCTCCCACCCTCACCCCAACCTACCCCCCAATCCCCAGTCCGTGGAAAAACTGTCTTCCACGAAACTGGTCCCTGGTGCCAAAAAGGTTAGGGACCACTGAAATAAAGGATTAAATGGTAGTCAGATTTCATGTGTATTTTTGCTAACACTGAAAACTGACAGGATCCACACTGGCCTTACCAGCTTGTACTGAAGCCTGACATGATACCCAACAGTATTACTCCAGTTTTTTCAAACACACACTCCAAGCAAGTGGTCAGTCTGGCTTAATTCATTATGGCTTTTTTTCAGGGTAAGAGATTCACATGCAAGAGAATAAGGCTACAGATGCTCCAAACATGGGTCCAGAACTCTGGCTCTTTTGTGAGGCCTAGAGTCACAGAAAATGCCATCTGTTAAGAAGCTGCTTTTGTATAAAAAATATATAAAAAGTTACAAAATTCCGTCAAAGACAGATACACAGTATAAGTCGTTAGGTGAACACAGAAGGCTGGTCTCATCTCCCGCAGTGGCCCACAGACCTGCCCTGGGGTCTGGAAGTTCACTGTCCTGAGGGTCCAGGAACTCCTGCCTGCTGCCTGGGCTCTAGGAAGAAGAAGGGTTTGGCTGGGCCTGCCCAGCTCCCCGTGACACTGTCACTGTGACGTCACTGTTGTACCCTCTGTCTTCTGGTCCAGTCAGTCTATGAGCTCTTCTTTGAAACAGTCTTAGACCCAGAATGGTCATCTCACCCGCAGAAAACACGGTTTCCAAGGGTGGGACGTGTCAGTTATGGGTGCGGAGCCCCACTCTCCTGAGCGACAAGGCAAAGGTCAGTTTCTCCCTGCTTCACGAATGAAGAGGGAACTGGTGCTCCTTGAACCAAAGATTCTTGGAAGGGTCATTGTCACCAAAGTGCCTGGCGTGGGCAGGAGCACCAAGTGCAGACAAACCCAGCGGGGCCTGGCGGGGCAGCCCTGTCACGGTTTCTGTCTTTGTTCCTGTTAGTGAAACAGAAGACCCCCGACCCCCACCACCTAGCAGCTTGGAACGCCTGCTGCCCAGGTGGAGACAAGGCTCTGCTTTGTCTCCTTGTGCTGGTTTTTGGCAGAGAGGTTAAAGGGCTGAAGGCTTGTGGGACAGAAATGGGGAGAAGGGGTGGGACACCCAAGATGCCCTCACATGCAGCATGGTCAACAGTGCTGAGCTGAGGGGCAAGCCTGGTAGGCTGGGCTCAGGCAGAACCTGAAGCTGTGGGGGCCTGCTGTGTCTGCAGCCCCCTCTGCAACTCAGAAGTCCAGGCTTCCCCTCCAACGCCAGTGTCCCCTGTGAGGCGCAGGAGTGGAGGCCTGTGTGGCTCAGGTTGCCAGGGCACCCGCCAGGCCTTCAGTCAGAGTCCGAGTCGGAATTCTCTTCTGAAAGGAAAGCAGAGAGGATGCTTGGCAGGAGGCTCAGGGCAGTGGTGCCCAGGAATGGTCTCTGGGGAAGCACAGCTGGGTTGCTGGCAGGAGCCTGGGTGCAGGCCGCTCACAGCTGACGCTACCATTCCCAGTGATCGCTGACATCAGGGCAGGCCCCAGGCCTGAGGCCTTCCAGAGGCAGCAGCCTTTTTTTTTTTTTTTTTTTTTTTTTTTTTTGAGATGGAGTCTTGCTCATCACCCAGGCTGGAGTGCAATGGCACGATCTCGGCTCACTGCAACTTCCACCTTCCCGGGTTCAAGCGATTCTCCTGCTTCAGCCTCCGGTAGCTGGGATTATAAGCGTGCGCCACCACGCCCGGCTAATTTTTGTATTTTTAGTAGAGATGGGGTTTCACCATATTGGTCAGGCTGGTCTTGAACTCCTGAACTCAGGTGATGTATCTGCCTCGGCCTCCCAAAGTGCTGGGGTAACAGGCGTGAGCCACCGCGCCCGGCCACAGCAGCCACTTGCACCTCCAGGGTGTGGGTATGGGTGCAGGTGGGGGTGTTTCCACCCCAAGACTGAAGCCCAGGTACCCCTTCCTCAGGCCCAGCCCCTCCCGAGTCTCCCTGGGCTGTTCTCAGCTGGGTGCGTCAGGGCTGTACCTCTGCATCCCAGCTCTATCCCCACCCCCAGGTTCAGCAGGACAAGGTAAGGATGATGATTTTCTTGTCCCCCAAACTAAATATCCTGGAAAATCAGCAAGCCTCTTTTTAGCCATTTTATATCTTCAATCCCCTTTCCCAATCCTTGTTTAATATTGTAATCAGAAACAATTTTATAATGGTAAGGGCCTGCCTATGAGGTGTGCCTCGAGGGTTCCTGAAATCCCAATACTGAAGGGAGCTCTGTAGAGCCTTCTGGAACCTCCACCCCAGAAGGAAAAGCACCAGAGTCACTAACCCCCCACTCCGCCCCAGTGCTGGTTGCTACTTCCTGATGTTCATCCCCTCCCTGGCCAGCCTCTGTCTCTCAGAACCCCAGTCAGTCCCCACGCTGTCACTGGCTCATGGCCGGGCCCAGGGCTTGGGTGTGGGCAGCCTAGTCCCTAAACCCCAGCTCTGCCCCTTACTCCTCTTCCTGGGCTGCACTCCTCAGATTTTGTGGGGTTTGCTATATTCAATTTTTTGTTTTCCCCCTGAGATGGAGTCTCGCTCTGTTGCCCAGGCTGGAGTGCAATGTTGTGATCTCAAGTCACTGCAACCTCCGCCTCCCAAAATCAGGTGATTATCCTGCCTCAACCTCCCAAGTAGCTGGGATTACAGGTGGGCACCACCATGCTCGGCTAATTTTTGTATTTTTAGTAGAGATGGGGTTTCACCATGTTGGCCAGGCTAGTCTCAAACTCCTGACCTCAAGTGATCCTCCCACCTCGGCCTCCCAAAGTGTTGAGATGACAGGCATGAGCCACTGTGCTTGGCTGCTACATTCAATTCTAACATACAAGTCAGGAATAATTTTACAGCCAAATAATTGTTACATATGTGAAACTCTTCAAATAGTAAAAAAAGAAAAAAAAAAACCACCCAAGTTTCCACTGACGGTTACTAATTGTTCCCTGGGCTGGCTGGCTGGGATCACTTGCTGTGGGCAACTGGGAGCAGGCTGCAGAGCCAGAGGAAACCGCCTGGGAGCTCTAACCTAGTATTTGCCAAGGGATGGAATGGGATGAGTGGCATTCATTTTGAGCAAAAGGACAGTTTCTGGGATTCACAAATCCCCATGGCCCCAGCACCTGGCTATTAGGAAACTAGTGTCTCTTAAGCCTGGTTCTGCCTGGGGAAGATCCCAACCACAGGGTGGGGCCTGCAGGCCCTTCCAGAGCTGCCCTTGTCTACCTGCCCAGCCACAGGCACTGCCAGCACAGGGGCACATCCGCCTGGTCCAGAGAAGCATCTCCCGGGCAGAAGCACCTGCTGTCTCTGCTCTCAGTTTTCTTCCCGCACCAGCCTGGTCTCTTCTGCCTGCACCCTCCTCTACCGCCATCCATCAAGACCCAGCTCTAGCGTCCCCTCTGGAGCCTCAGGCTGGCTGGCACTCAGTGTGGGCCTGCTTTCAGCTACTGTATCCCTACTTCTATCAGCTCCTGTTTTACTGTTGTCATTGCTGTCCCATCTGGCCCCTCCCCTGGTATGGGACACATCATGTGTCCGTTGCCATGGTTTCTGGGTCTGACTGCTCTCTGGCCTCTGAGCTCCCCAGGACAGGCCTGGATGGGTAAGACAGCAGAGGGGCTGGGTTGGGGGGGTGGCCACTCTGGATCCCAGGTGGACAGGTGCCCTGAGAGTGACTGGCTGCCCAGGGGGGTCGTCCAGGGAGACTTGGCTCAGCCATGCCCACTGCTTGCCCTTCCTAAAAAGGCTGGGGTGAGGGGCACAAGGGGAATGAAACTGGCTTTGGATCAGTGCTGCATGAGAGTAGGTGAGAATGGGCTGTAAAAACACTGCCATGGGGAGAGAGGAAATGATCCCACCCCAGCCTCAAACTAGCTGGCCATCCCCAAGGGAGGACAGGCCCCTGTTGCAGCACTGCTGGGGTGTTCAGGCCGGCTGCTCACCTTCTGTCTTGTGGGCTGTGGTCTCATCTGCAGAGTCCCCTTGTTTGAGGAATTTGGCCACGTCGTTAAAGATCAGGTAGAAATCAATTGCAAACACGATGGTAGCAAAGAAGCCAAATACCTGTGGACAGGGTGGATGGGACATATCACAGCGCTGACTCCCTGCTCCGGGAGGGCTGCCCCAGCCTTGTGGCCCATTTCAGACCTGCTTGGACAGACAGCCCGAGTGACAGGCACAGACCCCTCTGAGTAACAGAAGTGGGAAAATGAGCTGTGAACTTGGTTTGACAAACAGCCTTTCAAAACTCCGGGTAGAGTCAATCTCTAATGAGAGGACTTTGGAATCATCATCGGGACCCACATGAGACCCCAGGGGGGCCCCAGCAGGGAAAGGCTCTGCCCCAGGTCCCACCCTAAGTGAGCAGCTAGAGTGGCATCTGCAGTTTCCGGAGGGGTGGGGCGGCTGCTCACCCCAGCGGCTTTGGAAGCCCCATCCGAGTACTTGGCGACGGCCGTGATGGAGATGGCAAAGTAGATGAGGGCTGCGGTGACACAGCGCAGGAAGTCCTGGGGAGAGAGGGACACCATCATGCTGCCTTGAGCCCCCTGGAGCTGAGCACAGCATGGGGAGGAGGCCTGGCAGGCTGGTCTTGTTCCCAGCCCCAGGCCTAGCACCTGAGGGCTCCTACCCCATCCTGGCCCTACCCACATGCCTAGGCCCTTGTCCCACCCGCCAGGTGCCTCTGCTGCCCTGCCAGCAGCTGACACTGCCCTATCCCAGGTCCAGCGGGACTGCTGTCCTAAGCTCTGGACAAAAAACTGTGGGTCAGGCTGCAGCCTGCCCTGCGACGCGGTGGAAGCAGAAGTTGGAAACGCCTCCACCTGCTCCCTTGCTGTTCTCCGATGGGGAGATCTGTTTCTGCGCCTCGGCTTTGCCACACTCTTGTGGCCGATCCATTTATGGATCACAGTTTCTGCTGACCTGTCCTTAAGATGGGGACACTTGGGAGGTGCAGCCCTCCTGAGGCAGCAGATGCTGGATATGAAGTCAAGAGACAAGGGTTAAAGTCCAGCCTTTGCTGCCCTTTCTCTAGGACACATTTCATTCAGCCAAGTCCACTGGGGTCTGGGCCCTCACAGGTGACAAAACGAGGTCAGGGTTGCCGATGGCTGAGGTCTGGGTAAACCCTGCAAGTCCTCAGTTAACCTGTCCTGCCTGCGTGGAAATGGCTTGAATTCCTGTGGTGGCAGCTCATTCCTGCAAGCCCCGTGGGGAGCACCAGCGCCACCTGGTGGCCAGAGACCCCTCTCCGGGTTCCCTGCCTCAAAGACGTGCTCTAGAAGCACCAGAGCCCACTTCAGATCACAGGGCTGCTGAGGAGTGGAGCTGGGATGATCTGAAGCTTGGTCTCTCCATCCAGTTCTAACCAACCGCAAACTCCAGCACACTGGAGAAAGGATAAGGGCCCAAGTGCATGACTCCAGACTCCTCATTTGGTCGCTTTGTGCAGGGTACCCCTCCCTCCTGGGGCCCCTGTCCTCACCATCATGGGCCAGCACAAGCCCTGCCACTTGTCATTCAGCTGCATGGCATCAGCAAAGAGGAAGAACAAGGCCAGCAGGAACTCCAGTAGAGGTGCTGTGAGGAAGGCAGATGCTGAGGATGCCACATAGCAGATAAAAGTGATGAACGAGAGACCCTGCAGGGAAGGAGTTTGAGGTAAAGTCAGAGCCTTTTCGTGCTCCTTGCCCAGTGCTCCTCTGAGCCAGGCCCTGTGGTCAGGATAGAGGAGGCTCCAGCAGGGGAAGCCAACTGCTCAGTCCCACAGCTGGGAAGTGGCAGAGCTAGATTAGAATCCCAGGCCAAGCGCAGTGGCTCATGCCTGTAATCCCAGCACTTTGGGAGGCCAAGGCAGGTGGATTGCTTGAGCCCAGAAATTTGACCCCCTCTTGGGTAACATGGCAAAACCTCATCTCTGCAAAATATACAAAAATTAGCTGGGCGTGGTGGTGTGTGCCTGTAAAATCCCAGCTACTGGGGAGGCTGAGGTGGGAGCATCACCTGAGCCCGGGGAGGTTGAGGCTGCAGTGAGGTGTGATCAGGCCACTGCACTCCATCCTGGGTGAGAGAGTGAGAGACTCTGTCCGCCCCCCCTGCTGAAAAAAAAGAACCCCAGCATGGCCCAGGCCCACGCCTATGCTGCCTCCCAGTCCTGGGCATGGCCCTAAGTCCTCACCTCACCCCACCCCAGCTCCCTGCCAGGACCGAGTCAGAAAGCCCCAGCCTCCCAAGCACATCCACTCCACTCTGCCCTGTGGAGGGAAATCAAAGTTAGGAACCAGTTTCCAAAAAGTAACACCCAACACTGAAGACGTGCGCTTGTCACTGAATGTAAATTTCACCTTGAAAACAAAAAACAAATCTTGAATCTTAGTTAATGATATGCATGCTGAAGTGTTCAGAGTTGAAATGTCCTGATGTCTGCAATTTATTTTGTGTTAAAAGATAAAATGGATTGATGGACAGATAGATAAAGCAAAAAAACCTTTTAGCATTTTAATGTATTTGCAAATTTTCATAATAGTAAGAAAGGAACATCCAAGAGAGGGTGCGCTGGCACTGACCTCAGGCCCTGCTGCCTTATTCACACAGGGCCAGCTGTATTTGAACTATAAGAATCAATAAATGTTCACTGCGGTCTTGCCCACAACTCTGTAGGTGGGAAGAGCTGAGGCAGGAGGATGTCCAGCCCTGGTAAGTCCTGCAGCTTAGGTGCGCTGCAGAGCAGGCCAAGGTGACCTGTTGGCCAGCGTGGGGCTCCACAGTGCCTGGTGCCCTGAGGCTCACGGGCATCTCCTCTGACCCTCACATCCACCCATGAGCACAGCCCCACTTTACAGATGAGAAGACTCTGTTACATGGCTAATCAGAGGCTACTAGAATTTGAACCCAGGACTGGCCGACCCCCCAGTTAGAGTTCTCTTACCCACCTCCCGCTGCCCTCAAGATGGAGTCTTGCTCTGTCTCCCAGGCTGGAGTGCAGTGGCACAATCTCAGTTCACTGCAACCTCCACCTCCCGGGTTTAAGCGATTCTTCTGCCTCAGCCTTCCAGAGTAGTTGGGATTACAGGCGACCACCACCACACCCAGCTAATTTTTGTATTTTTAGTAGAGACAGGGTTTCACCATGCTGGCCAGGCTGGTCTCGAATTCCTGACCTCAGGTGATCCACCCACCTCAGCCTCCTAAAGTGTCGGGATTACAGGTGTGAGCCACTGCACCCGTCCCAGACAGAGTTCTTAAGCAACTTGGCCCTGTGGGTGTTGGGGAGGCCATCTGTCCTGGTTTCTGTCACTGTGGCTGCGTTTGAACACGTCCATGGCTGAGTAGCTTCTAGTGGGTGCTGGAGGCCCCATGGGGACACCCAGATGCCTCACAGGAAGCACTGTGGCTGCTTCAGACAAATGAACTGCAGGGATCCCAGGGGGTCCCCAGGGCACCCCCATTTGCTCTGCACATGGCCTTGGGTGCAGCTGAGCCCCCTTTGGACAGATAGACTAAGGCATAGACAGGGGCTGGGAGGCTGCTGGGGCCTCCCAGGAAGGCCTTGCGTGGGACCGACCCAGCCCTGGCCCTCCCCTTCCTGTCTCCTATGCCCAGGCCCCAAAGCCTAATTCTGGGGATTCCCCTCTCAATTCCTGTTTTCTCATCCCGCGATTTCTGGGGCCACTTCCTCTCTCTGTTTCTGTCCATGTCAGCCTCTGCACTTGCTTGGCCTGGGGGTGGGAGTGAGGGGACTAGGGAGGCAGGAGTGCCCTCAGCGGCTCCTGTGAACCCTGAGTGCCGACCATTCACCCTTCCTTATCCTCCCTGACCTGGATTCCTGACATCTGCTGGGCCCAGGGTGGCCTCTATGCTCCTGCTGGGCATATGCCTCCCCCCATGAGGTGGTCCTGGGTGAGGATGGGGGGCGGTTCAAGTCCCTCAGGGGACGGTGGATTCGAGGCTTCTCCCCTCAAGTGGCTCCCAGTGGTCTCCAGGGTGGGGCTGGGAGTGTGGACTTGGTGTCTCACTTGGGCGTTGGGCAGGTGGCCTCTGGGCTGACCGCGGGAGAGGCTGCAGGACCACCTTCTACCCTCTGCCCTGAGCGACCAGAGAGAGGTCCCCGAGCAGAATCCCCCTTCCTCCTGCCCCCACCCTCCCACCTGCTCTCACTGGGCCCCTCAGTTGAGCCACCTGTCAAATTAGGCGCCTGAGCGCTCTCATCTGTAAAGTGGGGACGTGGGCAGGAAGGGCCAAGTCGCTGGGATCTAAGCAACAAGTGGCCGCCGCCGTGCGCATCGCCCTGCCTCTGGTCCGGCCTCTCCCTCACCAACCCCGGCGGCCCAGCGCCACCACCACCCCACGGAGAACAGTGCGGGCGCCTACGATGTCCAGAGGACAAAGAATCCCCACCGGCCGGGGTAGGGACGAGCGCGGAGTAGGAAGGAGCCCGGCCGCGGAGGGGAGGAGGGCGATGAAGTCACCGCGGGGCCGCCTCACCCAGTCCCGGGGGTGGGGGTGTCCCTCCCGCTCCGCACGGCCCCCGCCCGCTCGGCCCCGCCTCCGCCCCTCAAGTCGAGGCCCCGGCCCGCCCTCCCCGCGCGCAGGAAAGCGGACCCCGCCGCGGCCCGAGAGTCCAGGAGGACCGAGCGGCCGGAGTCCCCGGGGCCCAGAGAGGGCGGGGGCGCCCGGGTCACACAGCGGGACCCACCTCCCCGGGCCCCGCCCGCTTCCCAAGGCCCCCAGCTCTGGACTCGCGGGGACAGCACCGCGGATGGCCTGGGCTCTGGCCCCGCCCCGCCGTCCAAAGTTTGGGGACCTCGGCCCAACTTCGCCGGGTGCCCAAGAGAAATCGGCCGAGGCGGCGCGGGGAGGGGGGTATCAGAGCACAGCGGCCGCCCCCGGACCCCACCCGCGCCCCGACGTCCTCCTCCAAAAGGAGCCGCGCAGTCTCAGCGGGCGGCCGAGGGTCCCGCCGCACTCACCGACTCGGCCAGCAGGAGGCGGCCTTTGAGAGAGCAGAGGAAAGCGCGCGCCGGCAGTAGGGCGCGGAGCCCGGGGACAGCGGGGCCGGGACGGGAGCCGCCGGCGGGCTCGGGGTCCGGGTCGGGGTCGGGGTCTGGGGGCCACATGGCAGCGGCGGCGGCACGGCCGGGGCTCGGTCTGGAACCCCTCTTCTCACGCCCGGAGGGAAGCGGAAACCCAGGCTGTGCGGAAGGAGGGTAGGCGACACTGCCTAGCGCAGGGGCGCATCCCCCGCCGCCCCGCCCCGCCCCGCCCCCACCCGCTTCTCCGGCCCGCCCCTCCCCCTCGGACCCCAGCGGCGGGGGATGCTGGGTCCGACCCGCCCGCGCCTGGGCCTGGGGCCTCTGCAGACTCCGCCTTCTCCCTCATCCTGGTTCGGGCCGCTGGAGGCTTCCCGATCACCGCCGCGGCACCCGTTCGGAGCTCCCACCCGTCTGCCCCTATCCACAAGGGCTGTCTATACTCGCTGTCTCTGGTCTAACTTCCTGCCCGTGCGCGTGTCTGGAATCCGGGAACCCAGGCGTCTAAACAGCAAAGACCCCGGCCGTGATGTCAGCTCCGCACCCCATGTCCTCTCTCTTTCTTGGGGGCCGGAGTTTTCTTGCGACTTCCTTGGCCACCCCTCCAGTTCTCGGCCAGCCCCACCCTCCTCCAGGGCCTCTTTGTTGGCTGTTCCAGGCCTCGGTCCTGCACCCGCCTCCCCCAACCCATTCTTGGAGGACTCTCAGACCTGCAAGCGCAGCTCCAGGCACACACACAGACACACATACACGCGCAAACACACACGCACACACACACAGGCAGGCACATCTGCAGGACTTCCTGACCTGCAGTCCCCCAACCCCAACACATCTCTCTCTCTCTCTCTCACATACACACACACACACACACACACACACACACACACGCGCGCGCGCCACGCTCATGCGTGCACGTCTGGAGAGTGTCTGGAGTTCAGCGTGATCAAGACTCAGCTTGCTGTGCCTCTGTGAAGGGCACTGCCCCCTCCTTTCCTTCCACCCGACTAGCAGAGACCTGCAGGTTGTCCTTGTCCGTCTTCACTGGCAGTCTGTAACCAAGGTCCTCCCACTTTCACCTCCTGTAGCTTTCTCTGATCTCTGTCCACTTCTCAGCACCACTAGATCCGAAACCATTCCTGCCCGCTACCTGCTGAACTGCTGTGATGGGGTCTTTAAGAGGCCCTTAGGTTTTCTCTTTCAGCAGCGGGGAGAGAGCTTGTACCACAGTACTGCGCACCCTTGATATAATTAACTCCATCTTAGAAAGACTTCATTTTATATTTCATAGGGTGCTTTGTCAACAAGGACAAGATGTTTTGTTTAATAAAAAATAGAAGGTCAGGTGCTGTGGCTCATGCCTGTAATCCCAGCACGTTGGGAGGCTGAGGTGGGTGGATCACGAGGTCAGGAGTTCGAGACCAGCCTGGCCAATACAGTGAAACCCCATCTCTACTATAAATACAAAAATTAGCTGGGTGTGGTGGCACATGCCTGTAATCTCAGCTATTCGGGAGGTTGAGGCACAAGAATCGCTTGAACCCGGGAGGCATAGGTTGCAGTGAGCCGAAATCACACCACTGCACTCCAGCCTGGGCGACAGAACAAGACTCCATCTCAATAAATAAATAAATAAATAAATAAATAAATAAATAAATAAAGACTGCATCCAATGAAGCACACTGTTCCACTCTCATTTCTCACCAGAGCACTTTGTGAGTACAAAACAGCAGCCCAGCAGCCTTAACTGACAACCATCCCACTGCCATACTTGATAAGAACTCTGCATCTGCCTCCCAAGGCTCTGCCCCTCAAAGACTGCAAGACCCTCAAGCCCAGACCAGGATTCCTTTTGTCTTCTTCCTTCCCCTGGGGCTGGTTCCTTAACCATTTCTCCTATCTCTTTTTCTCTTGATGCTAAATGCTACTTTGTTTGTTGTGGAATGTTTAATCTATAACATTTATTTGTGGATTAAGTATACTATTAGGTATGGTTTGCAATATTGACTGACTGACTTGTATAGTGGCTTGAGCCCGTGTGCTAACTACTGAGTGAACAGGAAGTACTAAGGAAAATTGGCTCCTTGGGTCTGGGCATGGTGGCCCTTGCCTATAATTCCAGCATTTTGGGAGGCTGAAGCAGGCAGACCACCTGAGGTCAGGAGTTTGAGACCAGCTTGGCCAACATGGTGAAAACCCATCTCCACTAAAAATACAAAAATTAGCTGGGCATGGTGGCACAGGCCTGTAACCCCAGCTACTTGGGAGGGTGAGGCATGAGAATTGCTTGAACCCGGAAGTCAGAGGTTGCAGTGAGCTGAGATTGCGCCACTGCACTCCAGCTGCACTCCAGCCTGGGCAACAGAGTGAGATTCTGTATCGAAAAAAAAAAGAAGCAGCAGCAGCAAATTGGCTCCTTGGGATATCTCGTGGCTTTTGTTTTTTTACTCTTGGGTATAGGGTGAATAAAAATCTGACATTGTAGAAAGACACAAACATGTGTGGACCTGGTTATCTATTTTTTCTTTCTTGAGACAGAGTCTCACTCTGTCACCCAGGCTGCAGTGCAGTGGCATGATCTTGGCTCATTGCAATTGCAACCTCTGCCTCCCAGATTCAAGTGATTCTCCTGCCTCAGTCTCCCGAGTAGCTGGGATTACAGACCTGTGCCACCACAGCCAGTTAACTTTTGTATTTTTAGTAGAGACAGAGTTTCACCATGTTGGTCAGGCTGGTCTTGAACTCCTGGCCTCCAGCAATCTTCCTGCCTTGGCCTCCCAAAAGTTTGGGATTACAGGCGTGAGCCACCACCCCTGGCCAGACCTGGTTATCTCTTGACCTTGTACCACTCATGACAATCACCAGTCATTGGTCACTTCTGATGGCAGCCATGGCTCCAGACAACCTGCTGCTGTCAACACTCAGCCACAGCAGGGAGGCATGGCCTGGGCTACACACTCTATGGAGCAGGCAGGAGCCCTGCCCTCCCAGGTGCAGCTGCAGCTACCCAAACCGCAGCTGCAGACTGGGGCCTCCTCCGTGGGGCAGACAGGAGCCCCCAGCCCCCTCTTCCCACAGCTACAGCCACCCAAACCACAGCTGCAGGCTCAGGCATCCCTGTACTCTTAGGGGCCCAGGAAGGCCCTCACCTGCTCTCCCAGGCTCAGAAGTGCCTTCTGCTGCTGCCTGGCTTCTTCCTGCTTTGGACACCTGCTTTGATCTGGGAGCAAAGTCAGGGCAAGCCTGGGCTTCATGAATGGCAGCAAGAGGCAGATAGATTCCTGGTTGGAAGCGGGCAGGTCCCAGTGAGGCCCCACCTTCAGGCCAGGCGCCTGAAGGCTAGGGGCCAGGTTGCCAGTCCGACCAACCAGAGTGAGAACTTGTACTGCCTTTTCTGACCCACCCATGGCTGCCCATAGATCAACTGGGCTCACACTTCCTCCACTCTGAGGCCCATAAAAGCCCCAGGCTCAGCCAAAGCTGAGCAGAGGTTGGGGGGACCAGCTACAGAGAGGAGCCACACTCTCTAGGGCCTCCTCTCTGCTGAGAGCTGAACACTCAATGGGATGATCTCCCTACAGAGAAGAGCTACCCACTGTGGGTCTCCTCTGAGCTTTCTAGCACTCAGTAAACCTCCTTGTTGACTTGTTCTCCCTCCACTTGTCTGTGTACCTCATTCTTCCTGGTGGCAAGACAAGAACTCAGGCAAAGGTGCCACACTGGCCACAGAGGTTTCCAACCAGAAAATTAACACCCCAGAGATCCCGTAACACTTCCATTTCCTCCCCACAAAGATAAACACACACACACACACACACACACACATATATGCACATACACACACACAAAACCTTGGGAGCTTCCCATCCTATACAGGGTCTTGGTATAGAAGGAAAACATAAACCCTTGCTGTTCTTCCCTCCCCTTCCTCTCCCATGGACCTCTTACAGTTCCTGAAACAAACCATGCCACAGAACCATTGTCCATGCTGACCCCTCTACCCAGAATGCTTCTCCACCTTCTTCTCTAATTAACTCCTCCTTATTCTTCAGTGACTGTAATGCAGTACTGCTTCCTCGGAGAAGCCTTTCTTGACATTCATTTATTCATCCAACAGCCTAGGGTACAGCAAGGCCCCGTCTTTTTCTGCTACTACTGGTGGTGGTGGTGAAATAAACACTAAACATATCCAGAGAATCCTGATTAAGGTGTTCCTGGTAATAGATAACCGATGTCTGGCTGGTTGGGAGGACAGCCAGGCAGGGAGCGTCAAAGAAAGGACTGAGCCAAGGTGTGTGGCGGGAGGGGGAAGATGGGGGGAGCTGGTCAGAGAAGGGGCAGGGCTAGACTGTGAAGGACCAGAACCTGGTGTTTGGATTTTACTGACAATTCCCTAGGAGGAGGCCAGGTGAGGGTTCTAACAGAGAGAAATCTGGTTCCCATTGGTGTTATTAAAAACATGGCCCTGGGCCGGGCGCAGTGGTTCACACCTGTAATCCCAGCACTTCGGGAGGCCGAGGCAGGTTGATCTGAGGTCAGGAGTTGGAGACCAGCCTGGCCAACATGGTGAAACCCCATCTTTACTAAAAACACAAAAAATTAGCCAGGTGTGGTGGCGTGCCCCCTGTAGTTCTAGCTACTCAGGAGGCTAAGCAGGAGAATTGCTTGAACCTGGGAGGCTGAGGTTGCAGTGAGCTGAGATCGTGCCACTGCACTCCAGCCTGGGTGACAGAGGGAGATTCCGTCTCAAACACACACACACACACACACACACACACACACACAGTGATGGCTCTGAACTGCAACTCATTCTTAAGAAGAAGCAACCCAATTTTTTTAATGGGCCAAAGATTTGAACAGACGATTCACTAAAAGAGATATATGAATGTCCAATAAGCACGTTAAAAGGTGCTCAACATCATGAGACATCTAGGAATGCAAATTAAAACCGTAATGAGTTACTACTGCACGTCTACTGACATGGCTTCAAAAGGAGGCACTACCAGCTGCTGGTGAGGATGTGGGGAGTTGGGACACTTGTGCCTGTGCAGTCCTGGTTCGGCTCTTTCTGGCTTCCTTTTGTTTCCTAATCTTGTTTTTTTTTATTTTTTTATTTTTTTTTATTTTTTGAGACAGAGTCTCACTCTGTCGCCCAGGCTGGAGTGCAGTGGCGTGATCTCAGCTCACTGCAAGCTCCACCTTCCGGGTTCACGCCATTCTCCTGCCTC